GACGAGAAAAGCTCTTGATTCGATGCGCTCCCACAGCTCCAATAGTCATCAGCAACTGTCCAACACCAAGATTGGGGATGTGAAAGAGATATGTAAAAGCAAAGAAATGGATGAGATGAAAATTAGATGTGAAAAATGAAAAACAGGATGATGAGTCGCTACCCCAAGATCTCTTTTAATAGGATTTGCTAAAATTTCTTTAGATTTGGGCTTCTTGTAGGTGAGCACGATCGTGTAAAATCATAAGCACGACTGTGCATGTTCTCGAAGCACCCTGTGCTAACTGCTAGAGTCTAGACATGCTTGCTACTGCGAAACTCTATTTTTCAACTAATTTAGGCAAAAAATGCATCCAAAACCCAGTTGTGGCCTTCTTATGCTAAACTCCATAATTAGTGTATAAATTAGTATAAAACTTAAATAAAATAGATGCCACACATAAATATATAGGCTACAAAAATATGCCAAAATATAAACTTATCATATAGATATATGACCATTAACTTTTTTAGCCATGAACAAGATTTTGTAAAAGGTGAGAAGCCTAACATTACTATTTTGGTGAAATGTATATATGAACGTGTGACATTTTTAATTTCTTATTCAATTTATATAATAATTTATGATGAGGTATAGAAAATAAAAATGAATTTCTTGTACATGTAGTATAAAAATGTGATAAAATTAAAACTTTCTTGTAAACGAGTCAATTTACGAAAAATGCAAAGGCATTAGAAATAACAAAAGATAAATTATACCTTAATAATTAAATTTACACTAAAACAATAAAGAAAATATACATATACTGAATGTCTTTTACATGGAAAAGTTTAATATTTGCAAACTATTATCAAAATATACATTAAGACTTAATTTACGTAATTCAATATCAAAAATAGTTTAAGTCATAAAGAGCAGCCAATATCTACCAAAATACTAAGGACACGGTCCTAGTCATTATCTTCGAACTAGTCTTCTATCTTTGCCAGTTCCTCTAGTGTCAGCTTCTCGTCATAATAATCTTTAATATCAACAACGACTACAGTGTCTATCATTAGCTCTTGGATAAAAATATCTGGTCTTCCTATCTAATAATGGTCGTGAAAAGTGTACACGTAGTTTACCGGGTCTAGTATTCAGACCATACCTCTGTATATCGATAAGCTAAGTGTATGGTGAATCCTATCATTAACAAGGTAATCAAAAGGTATGTTATACTCTATATTCATCTCTAAAGTAAATACATTACCTGATTCATCGTCACTATTTACAACAAACTTATAGTGGTAGAACTGTTGTCATTCTCTAAATACATAATTCAACCTACTATTTACAAACCATTTTACTAGTTTAATGGGTCTCTAAGGGTTAATTATCCTTGTTCCTTACAACCATTAGTAAGGATGAGTTCTCTTCTCACCATTAAAACATATTCAAAACATTTTCATAATATCAAAAGCAATAACACCACATCAGAAAATATTATAGCACACATGTTTCAACCACAATCAATAAATATTTCTTTCTTTCTCTCTCAATTATGCACTTTCTCGTGCACTGTGATCATAGATATTCGATATCTCTAGCACTTCACGAGGTCTTACACATATAGGTGAATAACCACCAGTTAGCCTATGTACATGGATATAACATACACAATCTTGAGCCCCTTAGTAAATGTATAGTTAGAAAATGAGTGTGAGGCCATGTGATGCATATTGGGTTGGCTTTAGGTGATTGTATTGTATTTTTGTCATATATGCTTAATATGGATTTAGTCTGGAAGTGTTTTACTTAAGCATGATCTTTTTAACTGAATGATGAGATTGAGATGAAAGGAAATATATTATGAGTAAAAAGAGTTGAAGGAATTAGTGTGAATAGTTACAGAGGTATACTAAAAATATAGAGTTTGGTGACAATTTGAAAACTGGAGGAAATGTAGGATAGTGAACGACATTCGTGTGTGTGAGACAACATATTGAAAGCGAATGCGTCACATGGCCTCACACTCATTTTCTGACTATTGAAGCATGAAAATAAGCAAAGGATAAGTTAAACAATAGAAATAAGTATTATAGTAAAATAATGCAAAAGATGATATGATATGATATCTAAAGAATAGCATTCGAGATTGAAAATATGATAGTAATACAAAAGGAACTATAAATGAATTGTGATATTATCCAAATAATTTTATCAATTTTGGAAAATATTAAGCATACTAATTCCTATACTCACATGTCATTGTTGCTAGCGTTGTAGTGAATATTGTTTTTGACAATATGTTGAACTTGTTTATTTAGTGTAATATGTTCTTAATGCATATTCCTCCAAGTGGCGGTCTATTAGAAATAAGAACAACATTCTCACAAACAATGAATAGAAGCTAGTGTTCAATCAAGAGAGAGCACAAGGTTAGGGTCAATCAAAGTTTACTTGTATTAGAAACATAATGGATGGGGTTAAGTCACAATTATGACAAAAATGTATGTTATGCAAACAAACTTGTGTTAATCAAATGTGTGAAAGTTTTTATATGATTACTTAATTTGGATTGAGGTTTTATTTAAATTCATGTTTTTAATCGTTGAATCAGAATATTATTAATTTTGAAATAAAAAATTGAGTGTTGTTGTTTTTTCTCTTAATTTTTGAATTAAGTATTTTCATTAATTGATTAATACCTCTTTTTTTGTTCTGTTTGTTTTATTAAACCCCATCTTACACTCTAATTTGATAAATTGTTTTGGTGATCCTTGAAAGACGACTCTAGTTATTTGCCTCGTACTATATTAATTATGTTTTTATTATTTTAATAATCAGTCATTCAAATTAATCTTCTAAATTTAAAATTTCAAACATTAGTCCCTAAAATTAAGAGTCATCAATCATTTTAGTCAACATTATAAAAAATGTTAAAATGTAATAACATAATGATGATTTATTATGTTAAATGAGATGTTAAAGTCAACTTTGGACAGAAATGATGTCATTTTAGGATCTCTTAAAAATAGTTTATTTTGTTCTAAACTTTTAAAATTTTTAAACTTTAAGCTATCTTTCTTTTTTTTCCTTTTATTTTGCTTTGTTTTCTTTCTTGAGCACTTATCCATTTTCTTTCTCATTGACTTCACCACTAAGATTTACATTTTCTCATTCTAGTATCAATGCAACAACTTTTCCTTGTCACTATAATGCCACATTTGCACTTATCCATCTCAAATTGCAATAACAATCAAAATGACATATGTCACCACTACTTCTTAGAGCTTTCACTACCTATGACACCCATTTTAATTTTTGAATCTATTTAACAATGAAATACAAATTGGTTTCTAAATATAAGGGAAACCAAAAATTCAAGGAAGGAGAAAGATAGGGATGAAGGAATTTGTAGATCTAAATCTTGAATGTGCTCAGTGCTTTTACCTTCCCATCCATCACGTTTTAGAGATCTTGAATGTGATTGCTACTACGGTTGAAGATGAATAAGTCTCCAAAGAAGCTAAAAATCTCAAAAGTTAAAAATAAAAATAAATTATTTGTTGAAGACCTAAAAAATGTTATTTTGTGTCTAGTATATATTCTTATATGTCACTTAAATGATAAATTATCGTCATGCTATTCAATTTTAACATCTTTAATGATAAGGTCTAAATTAATTAATAATTATTAATTTTAAGGATTAACTTTTAAAATTTTAATTTTAGAGGAATAAAATCAATTACATTACATATTTTAAACTAAAATAATGATTCACTCTATTTTTGTCATTAGTGTAAATGCAATTTATTTATGATTAAAATTATAACTCATGAGATATTTTATTTTTGATTAAGTATTATGAATGTTCAAGAGTAGAAAATTTTACGACAAAATTGCATCTCCTTGAAATTATTTCAGTTAGATGCTTTAAATTCCTTGTTTTATTGTGCAAGAATTCACTGTAATATTTATAATGTATTGAATAATTTAAATATTATGATAATGAAAAAAATTGAAGGTCACAAACACAATCCTTCTATTAAAAAATTGTAGGTCATAAATAACAAACACTAGATTATGTCTTTGGTTCTTTAGAAGTATGGATAGAAATAGGCTAGGTTAGGCTTTGACTAAATAGATTTAGCATACTTAAAAATTTTGAAGTCTATATATGTCTTATTATCTGTCATAGACTTTTTATTAAGCTTAAGTCAAATATTTGTAAAAGCCTACTTTAGCCTATTAGTCTTTTTAATAGCTTACTTCGTATTAATATATTTAAATAAATAAATTATTTTATTATTCTTAATTAGAGAAGATATTTTGTTAATTTAAAAATTAAAAAAAGAAAAAATAATTAAAAAATTATATATAATATAAATAAGTATGTAAAAAAAAAATTGATGAGACAAACTAGTGACAGATGTAATCAAGAAAACAAATCAACGTTATGCATATAATATAGATCAACCAACGGTAATATAAAAGACTTTAGCAAATAGAACTCTTTCTCATATGGAGTATGTAGTAGGAACGCTTTTTAACTCCAACGTAAAGAATTAGAATTTTTAATTTAAAATTCTATTTAGTTTAAAATTTATTTTATTTAATATAATATTTTATTATAATTTTTATATAAAATTATTTAATATATTACTATAAATTTTATGAGTTTTAAATATGTCATTCTAACCAGTTTAATAAGTTTTTTTTTAACTCAAATTTAACCTATTTAATTAATTAAGTCTATAAAAAAAAATTAAATTAAGTCTATTACTTAAACATATCAAACTGAGTTAGACTTTAAAAAAGTTAATTCAGATAAACTGACCTATGTCTATCTTTATTTAGAAGCCGTAAGTTAATTTAATTACAACATACTTATATTATGTTTTAAAAATTAAAGTGATATTGAGACATGACCTATTGTAGTGGGCCTCAACCTCCCTCTTCCCAGTAACAAAAACAACTTCGACCGAAAAGAAGAGTAGCAAACAACTTGAGCATTTTAAGGGTGGGAGAATAACATGGAATAATATTAAACAGAATAAATATATTCATTCTACATGGAACATTTTACATTTTGCTTTTGTAGTTTAAGTGACCTTAGTAATTAAAATTGAACTAATGAACTTAAACTTTATTTTCTACACCACCACAATCACTTTTGACTTCATAGCAATCAGCTACTGCCACCTTTTGCACATTTTTGTAGGAATATCTTCGGGCAAAAAACACAAAGAAGAACAAATTGGTTGTGGTTATTGCTGCCAATAGCCAATAGAACTTGTCCAAGCGACTACTATTCAAATCCTGACCAAACCAACTCTTCCCGCTCTTCTCTGTTATATGATCAACAATTGTTATCAACATACTACTTAGGAAATTTGCTGCCCCAATAACACTTAGGTAAAATGCTATGCCTAAGCTTCTCATAGAGTCTGGTACCTGGTCATAGAAATACTCTTGCAAACCCACTAGTGTAAACCCATCACCAAAACCAATAATAAGAAATTGTGGTGCCAACCAAAAGACACTCATTGTTAATGAACCCTTCATTGGATCCCTCTCAACAGCTTCAAGCCTTTTTTTCTCTATAAAAGCTGCTACTATCATTGTAGTAATAGAGAAAAGCATTCCAAAACCAATCCTCTGAAGGATGTTGATTCCTCTCTCATTTTCAGTTAGCCTTCTTAACACAGGTACAAGAATCTTGTCATATATGGCCACAGAAAGTATCATCCCAAAGGCTGCAACTGTGAAGATTGAAGCTGGAGGAATCTCAAACCCATTACCAATCTTCCTGTTCAATGTAGCACCTTGTTTGATAAAGAATGTAGATGTCTGTGCCACACATATACCGAATGGTATGGTAGATACCCAAATGGGGATCATATTGATAATAAGCTTCATTTCTTCAACCTTGGTTACGGTTGCTAGATTCCATGGACTCTGCTTCTCTGCTGAATTCCCATCATCAACAACAATTGCTGCCTTGTCAAGAAATCTGAAATTAAATTATAAGTTGCATGATTTTAACACATAAATTGGTAGACATGTTAAAACAACATAAAACATATGGGTTCTACTCTATGTTAAGAAATGCTAACAACATTTTCTTTCAAACACACTTTTTATTATTAGTTAAAATTTATTAAAAATTACAAAAACATGTGAGTTCCACTTCTAATTTAATGATTCTCACTAAAACTTTTATAATTTCTAACAAATTTCAATCGATAAGTGAGTGTGTTAAAATAATTTGTTCTTAGCAATTCTCAATCTATATTTGGTGTATTTTAAAAATAGAATGGAAAAGAACATAAGGTTAAGAAATGATATAGTTTTGGTTCCACTAAAAGAGAGGAACTGAGGAAAATGGAGCGGAATAAACTGTTTCTTTCTATTTTGTTCAAGTGCCAAACACTACCAAGTCATGCTACTTACTTGAGTTTATTAGTGTGGCAAAGAAATCTTGTATTGTTGCTAAGAGTCTTGGGGACCTCATACAATTGGGCAGGATTAGAAGGGTAAGGAAGCTTTCTTTTGGAAATGGCAGCAACAAGAACCTGCAACATTGGAGTCAAGGGACTCCCAGTTGGTACCCTATAACGATAAAATGGCCTTCCTATAATGAAGATGAGTAATGAGAGAGCCATGACCACAGTGAAGATAATATCAGCAACTCCCCAGTTTATGTTGTCTTGTATGTAAACAATAAGGGTCACTCCCAGAATAAGACCACTGCAGAGTGCACAATTCCACCAATTGAAAAATGACATTTTTTGCATCCGTTCTTCAACATGATCCTCATCAAATTGATCAGCTCCAAAGCTCTCTAAAGAGGGTTTGTGCCCTGCTGTTCCAATAGATATTAAGTAAATGGCCAAGAAGAAAACCACTTCATGAATTCTCCTTGGTTCATTGCACATGGCTGTATGATCACACGGCTTTAAGCCTGGTAAGAACCAAGATAGAGTAAGGAGAACCAATCCCTGTGTTTTGAACAAGTTTTCATAGTTAAGGAGCCATGGAGAAAAAGTTGAAAATACTAATGATAATATTAGTAGTACTAATAACATGTTTGGTTTAACTTAATTTTACAGCAATAACCGCTTGTTTTTTAAAAACTCTTAGAAAACAAAAATAAATAAATAAATAAATGGTTATTTCTTAAATAAGTCGAACCAAACATGTACTAAGTTGGAGGGATAGTGATTGAGCTTACTATGAGATAAACAATGCTTGATGCAAACACAGTGGAGTAACGGCCCATGTATGCATCGGCTATGAATCCCCCAAACAATGGCATCAAAGTAGTGACACCAGACCAGTAGTTCACATTCCTTGCTGCAGTTTTGAGATCTTGATGCATAACCTTTGTGAGGTATAGGACCAAGCTTGTTGCTATTCCAAAGTAGCTCAACCTCTCGCTTGTCTCAATTCCTGAAAACAAGGATCAAGTTAAAATGTTATGGTTAATGGCTTCATAAACATTAAACATGGTAACACTTATGTTATAGATTTTCTAATTCGTAAGATCTCGTGGGGGTTTGGTATATTAATTTTAAGAAGTAATTATTGAATGAATTTAGCTAATGAATATCGTCAAGACATTACTTAAAATTTAGTACATAATTTTCTTTATTAAATTTATAGTGGAGTTGTATTGAAAATCAGGATGGATATATCGCTAACACTTTTGCATACTTTTTTTTTTTGGTTATTCTTTAAAAAATGTCCTAAAAGTATAATTAACATACTCCTTATTAAAACTCTCTAAAAAAGACTAATAAAATTAGCATATTATTTTTAAATATGTTAAACCAAACATGCATTTCATATTTACAATTCAATTCTCCTTTAATCGAACACTTTCATTGACTAAATAACTAAAACATGTTGTATATGGCATTTTATATAATTATTTTTATTTTTACTGTGCATACACATTTCAAGAATACATTCCAAAACTAAGGAGATATAATTGTCCCTCAAAATCGTACAAAAATCATTCTCCGTTAATTGAGTGCTGTGTGCTACACAAATTTCATTAAACCATAAATAATTAATAAAAAAGTTTTTAGATCTCCTACTGTATAGTATACATGATAAATACAAGTAAACGCTTCTTAATTTGTATGCATTATGGTTTATGTATTAAATAAATGGAAGTAATTTGTTAACTTCGTGTAATTCAATACTGTATAGTATATATGATATTAGCTTTTCGATGTATAAAAATGAAAGTGATTTTAATATGTTTGCTCGATGCTTCTGTCTGGAAGATATTATATATTGAGAGGACCACAAGGGGCGATCCATCAACTTGAAAGAGAACAAATAACTTGAGCCATTAATCCCTATTCTCGTACCTGAACGCGCAAATTGGATTTTAAAGTAAACATGTTCGTACGATTCCATTTTGAGTTGTTTGACGCAGAGAATCATGGGTCAACTCAAACTCAAAGTCTTAAAAATGAGAAGGTGAAAGAAAAGTTCTCCAAGAGCTTGACTCATTTAAAGTAAGAAATTATAATGTTTTGAGTTTGGGATTACCATTATGCATATCTATCGTTCAAGTTGTCACAAATCGGTTCAGTTTTGATCTGGCTGGGGATAGAAAAATTATATCTGATTTCACGTAAAAGATAATAGATAATGTGTTTAGAATATATATATATAGGTTTGCCCGAGTTTGGGGAGATAATAGAATAATAAGAGATGAAAATCATATGAAACTCTAGAATAGAGTAATTAATGTTAAGATAAATTTTAAAATATTCCCACATATTTTTAAATTGCATATCTGATTTTACGAGAAATAAATTTCTTCTCTGAATTGATCTTAAGGGCAATTTCAAGCAATTTTTTGAAAAAAAAATAATTTCTGAACAACGAATATTAAAAATCAATTCAACATATAATCTTTTTCCTAAATCGCAACACACCAAAAGAAACACTTTTATTTTACTATATTCTAACAAAGTCACATTTAATGTTAAAAATTTTTAGTTAAAGAAAGACAATCAATATTGTGAACACTAGAGGAGCTCAATGAAAGGAGGATTTCAAAACTAGTGGAAGGGTCACATGGGTCCTGAACAATTTGTTTATTCTCAAGTAAAATTGCTAGTTCTGTGGTGCAGGATATAAGGTCGGCCATTTCAAAGCCACACATTATATATACAAACTTCATGCAATGGTCTATGTACAGTAACGTACATTTTCATTCTTAAAACCCCATTCACATTTGATTTCAATCAGGGTCAGCATCTTAAAAAGAAGCACCACTACTAATAGCAACATTCTTAGTGATAGTAACCATTAGGCTTTATGTGGTTGATATCGTTCATCATCATAATTTATTTATTGCTATTCAGATAATATCTATTTGTGGGTACGTAGTGGCATGTGGGACTGGGAATCCACCGCTTTTTGTGGTTATACCTATTGACTTAACTAGTTTATATCAAGTACTACAAGGGAAATTGACCGTAATCAGTTCCTTTTTTGCTGCTTTACGTTTTTTGGTTCTGGTAATAATTCCTCTTAATCTTGAACATATAGATGTGATTATTACCTTAATAACCGAAAAGTGATATTCCAAAATCATTTTGCAAATGGGCTGATTTTAAAATTGAATCCCTTAAATTGATTTTACTTATATTATTGACATTTTTTTTATTTCCGTACTGATTTTCTTATTTCTTTTTAACTAAATAAATAAATAAGTATGAGCATCAGAAAAGAGAAAGTAAATGCTTGGTATTCAGCTTCTTTTCTCAGCCACTAAGCATGTGACTTGCACACATGCGATTTTGAGAACCTTGTCCATAATCTATAGCCTTTTGTACTAGAGTTTGATTTGACATTCCTAATGGGATAGATATCCATGAACTCATCTAATGCATTCGATTTTCATGAATCAAGAGAAAAAATTATTCTGCTCGGACGATTCGGATTACCGAGAATTTTACATAAATGAGTTCAACATTTCTCTATTTGTGTTTTTGAGTTCTGCAATGACATATTGCCATTCCTTGTTTTATTTACATATATTGCGATAATCTATACATGCAAGTATGGGCGATTTAATATAGCATATGATGGGAATATTCTCATTAAAATGTAAAGAAATGTAAAATCATAATATGAAGACTTAACAACTTATAATGAGGAAAAACATAACGTCTTGAATTTTTCCAAATCTAATATTGTTTGGTTTCTTTATAGTGACTATAAATCTTTGAATATTTTAGTTTATAATTTCGATTAAATTTACAAGAAACATATTAAAATATGTTTTTAATTTATTTCAATAAACTTATCAATTATATTTATGACCAAAATATCATTTATAACATTTTCTGTATAAGTGTTTGAACCCTAATACGTAAACATATGACTGAGGTGGGTCTCGTGTCATGAATTTTTGTATGTGCTTATGTAATATAGAATCAGCCTAGGTCCTTCAATCTTTGTGTAAAACTTTAATTACACAAACGTGAAGCAGACAAATAATTAACTAGAAATCCAGAACGGGGTTTGACTGAGCAAACACAAGGGGTGACTCTGTTATCAAGGGGTGACTCTGTTACTGAACTGATTGAAAAGTCTGATTAAAGCTAAAATAGAAATGATAAAAGCAGATGCATGATGGGAATATTTCAAGAGTAGTAGATAATAATAATTAGCAGGTGAAACTTTGAGGAACTCCCCTGCACTTTATTGAGAACCAAAAGGAGCTTAAAGAAAACAGACAACACACACACAAATTGTCTAACTAGTATAAATTAAATGCCATAAATATAATTAAGATTGAAGCAAATCATACCAATAATAAAGAGAGATGCTTTCCAAGAACCAGTTGAAGCTCTGAGTGGAACCCTGCCTTTGTGATCCACTGAAGAATCATTAACCCATTTCATCTCATCACCCTCTTCAGGTTTTACTTCCACACTCAACTTCTCCATCTCGCAATATAATATTGCCTCACTATTGCTGGCTTTATACTGCAAGTAGAGAACACTACTATAGCCCTCCTTGCTAGCTAGATAGTGTCTATTACACTGACAACCTTTACCTCAGGACCTTCTTTTATAGACTCGGATTTGCTTTTCTTTCCTTTCTTATTCATTACATTACAAAGATATTATTTTTTTATACCAATCTTGATTTTCATAATACAATTTTTGCACTCATTTTATGTTCTTTTTTTGTTTTATCATATTACTCATCATATTTATTATATATATATATATATATATATATATATAATTTTAAAATATCTACACCTTTAAATATTTAAAAATAATATTTATTATATTAGTATATGTATTAACCGAGACCACTATAAATTAGCATTCTAAAGAGTGGTCTCTCATCTCATTTGAAAATATTAATGCTTTTAATTTATGGAAAAAATTCCTCCAATTAAAACTTAAACTCAAAATGGACACCCAGAAACACATCACTAGCTTTCACCATTCATACAACCAATACATTAAGGATTTAGGCATGTTTAGAAAAATGATATTTATTAAATTTTTTATATTAACTTTTAAAATACGTTAAACATTCAAAAATGATAATTTTGTATTAAAATTACTTATTGCATTGAAAAAATAAATTATAATAAATGTTTTTTTGTAATAAAAAACAATATTTTAAAATGCAAAAATCCACCTTAAAGATTAAGATTAATAATTTTTTTTATTATCAATGACTTTATGTTATAAATACTTAATTCAATAATTAAATTTATGAAAGTGATTTATATTTTTTATAAAAAATAATATATGTTAAAATCTATCAAACTAAGTTACAAATGAAATTAATAGAAGATTCATAAATAACTTTCTAAATATAACTAAATATCTTTCAAACTTTAGCTTAAATACATACTAAAATAAATTAATAAAAATTAATCCAAGCACTCCCTCCGTCCATCTCTCCTTTTATTTGACATTAACGTGCAACAGTTGCTGTGTTGTGATTGGCAGAAATTCTTGTCAAAATACAGAAGTTACACTAAAAGAAAACGCACTCCTTTAATTGGTAAAGGCCTAAAGGGTCTTGAAAATATGGTCCTAGTAACTGCCCCTTTTGAAAGCAACAATGCTGTGAGGAACAGTGTCCATACTCCCACTATCATTTATGGGCCCGCACTGGGATGCAATTGCATAGTGCACCAAAATTACATCTCAACCGACCACAAAAATTCAGCAAACTTTATATGCCATTATATCTGTGAGCCTTAGGACTCGCAACATTTATATTAGGAAGTAGGACTTTTTTTTATTTTTAATTTTATTATATTTTTGGCGTCTAATTATAATATATTTAATTATCTCATATAGCACTTATTAACTCCGCGACAAAATGTCATCTACTAAAGAAAAAGTCAATTGTGTCAATTGTTTGATTTGTCTTATCAATATAATTTTGTTAACTTACACTTCATCTTCTATACTTTTTTTTATCAATAAACCCCTTCATGGAAATAAAATAATGCAAAAAATAGCATTGTAAGAAAATAAATGAAAGAAAAAATGTATAATAAAGTTTAGTATCATGAAAAGTAATTTGCGAGAGTATGAATTTACATAAGAGTAAAGTATAATTTGCCCTATAGTTTTTGTCTTTCAGACAAATTAAACTCTTAGGATAATAAATAATCTTACAATCACAATTGTAAGTTTATATGTATAATATGATACGTGAAGTTAACAGATAATTTTATTAATTTAAAATATTAATGTATATAATTATTATATTATTAGTTTGGTATCTTTATTGGTAGTTTTTATTATATAAACACACTACAAACAAAGACGAACTAAATGATTAAGTTTTTTTCTCTTATTTATTTTTATAAAAATAGTGGAGAAATGGATAAAAAATATTTTTATGTTTCTCTAAGAATAAAAATTTCTTTAATAATGATAAAAAGAAAAAAAATAACAATTGGTAAAGAATGCCAAAAGATCATGAAATAGTTTAAACAATTATGGAAGAGTTAGAGAAGGAAAATGACTCTTTTTTTTTCCAATTTTTGTGCATTGTTTAAGGACAAAGTTTTGCTTGAAGAGTGTGTATGAATATTGAGGCAAACTATGAAAGTGGATCCCAATTGTCAAGCTCTTGGAAATGAGGGTGAAAATTAAATAATTTTAAACAAGTTAAAGAATTTTTTAGACAAGAATAGAGACATTAAAGTTTTAGACTTACTTAAATTTTCTATTAACAAGAATTATAAGTTTTTTTGTGTGTAAAGAACCTTGACTAATCTTAGATGATTTTCTATAGGTCTAAAGATGAAGTCATCTTTGATTTGATCATGAATTTTGTTTCCTAACTAGAACATTGTAGTCTTATTGATTTAGATTTTAAATGTGTTCTTTTACTTAGTAAAGAGATAACTTTAAATATAGAATAAATAAAATTGTGACTAATGATGTTTGAAGAGATAAATTTCAAAACTTCTATCTCATTAATGTCGTTATAGTTAAGTTTAATCATATTGGCCTTTGGTTAAAAATTAAACCACATATGTCAATTTTTAGAAAAACAAACAACTTTTATGTTTTGTACTCCTTGAATTACTCGTTCTAATGTTATTAACCAACTTAGAAAGTTTTAAAACTTAGACTACTTCTAGCATGAAAATGTTAGAAGATTTTATACAGGTATTTTAGATTAAAAAAATCTTTTTTTTAATAATATCTTCAGTAAGAAATAAAGAATATTTAATGGAATTGAAGGGATGTATAGGAAACGTGCCATTAACTAGAATCCTTTCTTTTCTAACCTTATTAAGGATTTTTGGAAAGATTATGAAAGTATACTAGACTACCAAGGAGCCTATTGTTTTAACCTATAGAGAGCTAAATGGATTAAATTAAGGGATAAAAACACTAAATATTTTCATCAAGTTGCTATGATTCATAAACAAAGAAATAGAATTGAAGCCTTGTTAAGTCAAAATAGAAAGTGAAAATTTGATGCTAAAAATACGAGAGCTACAATTTTGAATTTCATTAATGCTCTTAATACATAATTAACAAAAAATTGTAATTACATAAATGCTTAATTTTGCAAATTAGTTTAGGATTGAGAAATATATTTAGGTTGCTTTAATTTTATGTATGAGTTTGAATGAAATTTGATTTATGATAATTGAATTGAGATTAAGAAACACTTGATTGACTAACCAAAAATCAATGAATACTCTGTGTTATTCATGTAACATCCGCTTTTTGTTAATTGGTTGTTTGTTATTAATTATGTGTGAATGATATTTTAATTTGAGAAGTCTTTGAAAATAGTCTATTATAGGGGGTTTTGCCTAAGCAAGACTAAGCGTTTTGGACTAGGAGATCTCAGAGCATTCTCGCTCAAGCAAGAATGAGTCTTGCCTAGGCGAGATAGGATAGAGTCGTCCCAATTGTTCTCTCGCCCAGGCGATAAGTGACTAGCTTAGGAGAGAATATAAAAAAAAGCCTAGAAAATCATTGTATGATGTTTTTGTTCAAGCAAGATGGAGTCTCGCTCAAGCAAAAATTAGTTCGTTCAAGTGAAAGTGTGCAAGTTTGAGAGGTATTTAACAAACTTCCATCCATAAAACTTGTATTATAATTTAAGTTGCCTTTATCTCTCATTTCTCTCTGAACTCTCACTTTCTTTCTTCAGATATCTCCTCTAAACCTGAGCATTCCTTGAATTCAAACTTGGACATTCAATCCAATAGACTCCAAGTAAGTTTCATAGAGTTTAGTTCTTTAATCTCTGTTCTTTTCTCTTCATTTTATATTTTCTCAAAAATACTTTATTTTGTGATATTTAGGAAGATTTATGTTCTTTGAACAATATTCTCTACAAATCCCTTTCCAAAACTTTATCTCGATGTAAGTAGAGTTCTATTTTACCATTACACAGTGTATGTTTTTATGCTTATGAGATTACTTTCATGTATTTTTTGTTATGTTTGAAAGGCATGTTTGAATGATATTTGTCTATTCTAAAAAGTTGATGATATATGTTTGGTTGGTTTTAAATGATTGTATTATGTATTAAAATATATGCATTGTATGAACTTAATTTGGAAGTGCTTTACTAAGCATGTTTTTTTATCTGAATGATGAGAATGAGATGAAAGGAAGTGTATGATGAGTACAAAGTAATAAAAAGAATCAATGTAAATAGTTACAGAGGTAAATTAGAGGTACAAAGTTCTGAGACAATAAAGGAAATCTGGGAAAAAATAGGATGGTGAACAATATTTGCGTATGTGTACACGCTTTTTCTAAGAGCGAATGTGTCACATGGCCTCACATTTATTTTTTTATTAGACTCTTAAACTATACCTTTGCGAAGTGGTTTGTTATTGTATACGTTGTATTTGTGTGCAAGGGTTATCTGACGAATATTTACCTATTTATATAAGATTTCATTAAGTACTGGAGGCATCAAATACCTGTCTATGATCATAGTGCACTAGAAACTATGTATTTAAGAGAGACAAGTATAGTAGTTTTATGATTAAGTATGTGTGTAATGTAGAAATTACTAATGTATGTGTTTCAGTATTTGATATGGCATGATTTTCCTTTGAATTGTGAACAAGTTTTTGTTATGATATTTAATGGTGTAATTGCATTATGTTTAATGGTAAGATAAATGCTCATCCTTACTAAACATTTCAGAGAGCAAGGATGACCTAATTACAAGGGGTGATTAGATTAGTAGATTACTATGTAGATTATAGGATAAATTATGTATTTAATGAATATCAACGGTTCTGATATTTTAAATTTGTTGTAAATTGTAATAATGTACATGGTAATGTTTTTACTTTGAAAATGGATCTAAACTATAGTGTACCTTTAGACTTTTCTGTAAATAATAACATTCGCCACATCCTTAGTATATATGTTTATAAAGGGACAGTTAGAACTCCAACAGTTGTGAATTATTTATCTCCTTGGAAGACCAACTCAGTTGACTGTTGAGCAAGTAATGGGTGTTGAGGTTGAGACTGATTTTGGAGATCTTGGAGAGGAT